CACTGTAGGTCATGGAGAGCATCCCGCCACCCAAGCACGGGCTCTGCTGGCCAGCCACACCACCAACCACTCCGTGGTGCTACGGAGAGAGCTGGGAAAGCACAACATGGGCTCTGCTGCCACTCAGGGCACAGTTTTGCCCATGCTGCCATGCTGGAGTGTAGCACCTGCCCTTGCCAGGACATGCAGCGCAGGGAGGGGACAGTGGGGACCCTGGCAAAGCCAGTCTTTTCAGCAGCGCACAGCCTTGACATGGGAGCTGAAGCACAAAGGGAAAAGGAGCAGGACAGAAATAAGGCACAGCCCATAGCTGAGGAGGCAGCAGTGCCTACCATATAGCTGCCCCGAGTCATGTTGCAGCAGCATGGCCCATGCCTTATCTGTGCTGGCCCCCAGCTTGGACTGGTTTGCACCCCTGCGAGATGTTTCAGGTGGTGGCAAAAGTGCTGCCGGTGACAAGCTGGCACTGTGTACCAGTGGGCAGGAGAAGTCACAGTGGGAAAGTTCCTGCGGGGCTCCTCAGGAAGGTGGGTACCTGCAGAGGGGCTGTGGGCACCAGGTGCCCGCCATGCCTGCATCACACTGCCACAATGTGCACTTCCAGCCAACACCTTCCCCTCCACCATGGCAGCGACCTCCCAGCCGGTGCAGCTGCTGAAAACAGCCTGCTGCAGGGTGAGCATCTCACCCACCAGAGACTGGGGCCAAAACTGTGGCACAGGTACCGAAGCGGCCACTGGGAACGCACTGGCATCAGGCTCCAGCCAGGCTCCCACCCGTGGTTTATATTTTCCCTGGAAAGCTCACATTGATGGCAGCAGGAGCCAAAGATGAAGTGCTCCCTGCTGCTGTCACCTCCAAAGGCTCCAAACACGGAGGATATGGAGCAGCAGCTGGCTGGGGTGACCAAAACCCTGGGGGGTCTCCTGTGACACCCAGTGCTGCCAGAGAGCACTCTGTGCTCCTCCTGCTCTGTAGCAAGGCCTTGGGAATGCAGGGAGACATGGAAAAGGGATATTTCCCTCTGCTGTGGCAAAGCCAAACCAAACCCTGGTTACTAGCATCTTCCTGCCACACCTCACAGTTGGAGACAAGCTGGCACCGCTGGCACCAGCCCTTCTCCATGGCTGGTAGTTTTAACTAGGGCAGTACCAGTGGCTCCTGCTGGCTGTAGGCACCTGGTGGGATCCCCTTGATCTCAGTGGGATCCCTTGGCCTGGTGGGATCCCCTCGCCTGACAGTGGCAAGGAAAAGCCTGAGCTGACTGCACCACTGCTCTACAGCAGCGAAATGGATGCAGCAAGCGGAGCCAGGGGGTTGGGCAGGGCTGCTCTGAGGAATGGGGCATGAATCCACCGGCTGCCCCATCTCGACACCTCCCTGATTTTCAGCAGAGCAAGGGTACAGAACGGCAGCGAGAGCACGGCGGAGGTGGAGCTGGTCATGAGCAGAAATCCCGGTGCTCCCGGGCCGAGCCGGGGGGCTGCAGAAGCTGCCGAGGACAAGCCGTGCCCTGCCCAAGCGAGAGAGGCTGTTTGGTGGGGAAGGAGCAGGGATAAGGACAGGGCACAGGCTCTGCAGGACAACGGCACCTTTAGCAGCATCGGGGGCACAACAAGTGGGTGACGGGCAGGGCAGCTGCCCAGAGAAGCGTCT